CAAAAACAAACAGTAGGGACCAAGCGCGTAACAAAAACAAATAGTAAGGACCTTTGGAGTTAAAAAAATAAGTTAGGGACCAAACACGCAAATTACCCTAAACCATAGGGACTATTCGTGTAATTTACTCAAACTAAAATTTGGTCTCCTTGTGGCACTCACTATATAGAATGAGAAGGCATTAGCTAGTGGAAGTAGTGTCAGCGAAGCATCGGTGAAAGATGCAGACAAGTATTCCAAGATGATATTGTCCAAATTCTCACGTGGGAATCATTGCTTGAAGGCTACAGCATTCCTCACTATTACAATGGCAGTGGGTGTAGCCTTTATTATCAAAGACCCTACAGTCTGGAAATTGAAACAACTCGCTGATTTTGACTTTTCTCATACTTTTACTTCCCTCTCTCATTAAAGACAGGGGCAGGGGCAGGGGCATAGAGGTAAATAGGTAAAGGTGAAGTTGACCTAATATAAAAATTAAAATAATTAAATGGGTAAATGGGCCTGTATTAGGACCCTGTATCCAGTTTACAAAGACATATATAGATATACAAGTATAAGGTATACCCAGAACTCGGCTTTTTTTTTTTTATATTGAATTTTTAAACCTTTTATGAATAGTATTGTCTTGTTTGATTATTATTGAAATAAATTGAAGAGAAAGAGTTCAAAAGATTGGGCAGGATTGGTTTGTCTTGTTTGATTATTTATGAAATAAATGAGGAAAAATATTAGTGCTTGGATTAGACTTTTGACTTTTGACTTGCTTTATTTTATGTCTATGATAGTTAAAGTTGGTATGTGTTTTCTAGTTGGATTTAGTATTCAAAGCACTTATAAGACATTATCTTCTCTTTAATAAGTATATGCAAATAATGTCATTTAAATGCTAAGGTAATTCCTTAAACCAGAGGGTGTTAAACATTCTCACTTTACACATTAGGACATTATCTTCCGTTAGAGATGGAGGCTTAGTGTTTGAGCCATTATCAGTGTTACTGATATTAATTGTTTGCAGACATAATAACCACTTTGATGCCAATTGTAGGTATATTAAGTGTAATATCTAAGTAATGATGGGGGATTGAATATAATAATTTTAAAGTTTAAATAATAATTTCTTATTATAAACATTTATGGTTAAAGCATAAGGTTGTTGTGGAACAACCCTTGATGCGAAGGTTTGAGTTGGTTATCCGAAAACTATAATTCATTCACACAAACAACTATCAAAAAATTATATAGTGATTTTCTAATAAATGAATAGAGAATGTAAAGATCATGGGTGCAAGTGTGATGTCCTTGGTATCTATTTTCTAGTATTAATTAATAAAAATTCAAGGTTACTTCGTTATTTGTAGTGAGGTAAAATGAAAAGGCATTTATTTATTATTTGGATTAACCTAGCTCTATATAGGCTTAGATTATTATATTCAAAGTAATTATTGTGTTATTGTATGCATAAATGTGGGCCAATCATTTTACTTATTTTAAG